CTTTTCTGACCACATGGAATAAACCTAGAAACCAATAATAGAAGGAACGTTGGAAATAGTACAAATTTATGGAAACTAAACAACATGCTCCTGAACAATGAATGGAGTCAATTAAGAAATTAAGATAAATTAAATTCCTTTGGACAAATGAAAATGGAAACACAGCATACCAACACATGGGAGGTAAGAAAAGCAGTTCTTTGAGGGAAGTTTATAGTAATAAACACCTACATCAAAATGTAGGAAGACTTCAAATAAACTAATGATGCACCTTGAGCTAGAAGAGCAAGAACAAACCAAAACCAAAATTAGAAGTGAAATAGGCTGAAAGTCTCTTAAGGATGGTTTGACATACCATGGCAAATTAAGAAACATGGTACATCGCATTCATAGAATAAAGGACAGAAACCGTATAATTATTTCAATAGATGCTAAAAAGATTTGATAAAATTCAACATTTCTTCCTGATAAAAACTCTCACCAAACTGTGTATAGAAGGAACACACTTAAGAACAATAAAGGCCATTTGTGAAAACTCATAGCTAATATAATACTGAATTGGGAAAAACTGAATCCCTTCCTCTGAGCTCTTAGAACAAGACAAGGATGCCCATTTTCACCACTCTATTAAACATATGAGTGGAAGTCCTAGTAAGAGCAATTTGTTAAGAGAAGGAAATAAGACAGAAAGAAGTCAAATTATCCTTGTTTGTAGACAACTTGATCTTATATTTAGAAAAATCTAAAGACTCCACCAAAATACTGTTAGAGCTGATGAAAGAATTCAACAAAGCTGCAAGGTACAAGTCAACATACAAAAATCTACATTTCTATAGAGCTGCGGTGAATAACCTGAAAAAGAAATTTAAAAAGCAATCTCATTTACAGCAGTTAACAACAACAAACTCTAGGAAAAAATTTAACCAGAAAAGTGAAATATCTTTATAATGAAACCTAAGAATCGAAGAAGACACATAATATGAAAACATATGTTCATGGATTGGAAGAATAATGTCATTAAAATGTCCATACTACCAAAGCAGTCTACAGAGTCAATGTAATCCCTATCCAGTCACCAAAGACACTCTTCAGAGAAATAGAAAAAAGTCCTAAATTTCTGTGGAACCACAGAAAACCTCAAATACCCAAAGAAATCCTGAGTAAAAAGAATAAAGATGGAAACATCTTTATTTAACTATGCATTTAATTTTGGCTTCAAAATTTACTACATAGTTATAATATCCAAAACAGTATGGCACTAACACAGAAACAGACACATAGTTTAATGGAACATAATAGAGAACTTGGAAATAAATTCATACATTTCCAACCAACTGATTTTTGACAAAGGTGCCAAGCACATAAACTGGGGAAGGTATGGTGTCTTCAATAAATGGGGTGGGAAAACTGGATATTCATAAGCAGAAAAATGAAACTAGACCTCTATCTCTTACCATATGCTGTATATATATATATATATATATAGGCCAATGTCTATTTGATTGGCTTGGATGTAAAACATGAAACTACTAGAAGAAAATTAAAATTATTGTCTGGGCAAAGATTTTTTGGGTAATACCTCGAAGGTGCATGCAACAAAAGCAAACATATGTAAATGGGGTTACATCAAGCCAAAAAGCTTATGAACTACAAAGGAAACAATCAACAGAGTGACAGCCTACAGAATGGGAGAAAATATTTGCAAGCTATCCATGTGAGAACAGATTAATAAGCAGAATATATAAAGAACTCAAACAACCTAACAGCAAAAATAATAATCCAATTAAAACTAGACAAAGATTCTGAATAGACATCTCTCAAAAGTAGACATATAAGTGACCAATTGGGATATGAAAACTGCTCAACATCACTAATCATAAGAGAAATTTAAATCTAAAAAACAGTGAGATATTATCTCATGCTAGTTAAAATGGCTGTTATTAAAAAGTCAAGCTGAGTGTTGTGGCTTATGCCTGTAATCTCAGCCTTGGGAGGCTGGGGTGAGAGGATTGCTTGAGCCCAAGGGTTGGAGGATGCAGTGAACTATGATTGTGCCATTGCGCTCCAGCCTGTGTTACAAAGTGAGACCTTATCTCGAAAACAAACAAAAAACCAATTTTTAAAGAGAAGTAAAAAAGTAGCAGATGCTGCCAAGGATGTGGAGAAAGGGAACAGTAACAGTTGCTAGATATGTAAATCAGTATAGCTACTTCGGGAAATGTCGGGGTCTGACCTGCAGACGCTGCCCCAGCGACGGATGAACAAATTCACTCAAACAAAAATTTCCCGTGAAAGAGTATTTATAAATATCTTTAGCATATTTATAATTTTTGTTTTAACATGCTTGCTTGCTAATTAGAATGACTTGGTCATCTATGTGTCATCTCCTACTTATTATGTTTTCTCTTGATTGTGCTTCATGTTTTCCGGATATTTTGAGTATGTATCATAATTTTTTCCTAAATTTAGGGCATTTTATTTAATGAACAGTGGGAATTGATATGTACTATTTTTTTGCTTTGTTTTGATTCCCCCATGGAGTACATGCCCTTTTCTGTGTTTAGGGTAAGGGACTGAGTTTAGTTGAGCTAGTGCTAGGCTGCAGTCTCAGATTCAGTGTATCTGTTACTGGTTCAGCCTTCCAAGGGGCCTCCTTTTTTTATCTTGACAGTTTTTGAGCTGGGGGTGGGGATTTGGTTGCAGGTTTAGATACTCTTGATTTACTGTTGCTTTATTTGAATTCTGGAATTTATTTGCTTAGAGAATACCAGAGATTACCATCTCTGTCTTCTCAAACTTGAGAGATTATGTTGCAGGGTGAGTAATATGGGAGACTTATTGGGCCAAGCAATCTCTTTTTGTGTTGGGATTATTACAGTCTCTAATCCATCCTTCTATCCCACACTGTTGTCTACAGCTTGGCTGGTTTCTGCTTGCCTAACAAAATATATTTGTCTAATGGAAGATCACCTGTATTTAGGCCAAGGTGTTTGCCCAAGGCAGGGAAGCTGTCATGGTTCTCTGCTTATTTATGAAAGTTCAAGTTTTATTTTCCTCTGAAACTCTATTCATCAAAGCTTCTTTACTCATTTTATCCCCACAGAAATTGTCATAACCATGAGAGTAAAGGCCTTTCTTGTACTTCATCCCAACCTTCAGGAACGGAAGTTATATTGGACTTCTTTAGTAAATTTTAGTTATGTTGTACTACTCTTTGAAGTCTTTTTGTTTACCATCCAGTCTTATACAGACAGATTAATATTTATCTTCCTTCTATTCTATATCTAGGTCTTTTTAAAATTAAAGAAAAAAATTTTTTTTTTTTTTTTTTTGAGTCGGAGTTTCGCTCTTGTTACCCAGGCTGGAGTGCAATGGTGCAAT